ATTGTGGAACTCAAGCGTTAAGAATGCATCAAAATGTTACTTTTTTAAGATTAGGTATCAGACCTTTTATAGCCTCTGAGTAGTTTCATTCTGACACACTTTTTTCCTTCTCAAAACTTGCCTGGGAAAAATTATTCTTAAAAGACACAGAAACCAGAAATAAATGTTCTCACTGTCTGAGAAAACTGATAAAAGCCAATCAAAAAGGTATTTGAGCTCTTGTTTTGTGTCTATTACGGTAGGTGTCGCATGGGACAAAAAGTAACGTGGCTCCTGCCCATGAGTGGCTTGCAGTTTAGTTAAGTAAACAAGACATCTAAAAAGCATTAACTATGAGAAGGAATGCATTAAATTGTGAGGAAAATAAACTATTGAAACAAAAACTTAAGTCATATATTGTATTTCCCATGTATGTTATCCCCTTAAACAGTTTCTAACAACTACAGTGTTGCAGAAATTTCTAAGTTTGCAGAAAATTCTAAGTTTGAATACGTATTTTCAGAGATAAAGAAGTATAAGTAGTCATACATTGCTTTTTTGTATGCAGAAGGAAGTGGAAAAACTAGTGGTGCTCCTCCTATACTTATAGCAGAAAACTCTCTTTTTGGAAAAAAAAATCTTGCCTGATTTAAATGCCATTCTGGTTTCCAATTTAATGCATTTTCCATGATTAATATTTTAATACCAAGCATGTATTAGTTATCTATTGCTACCTAACAAGTTATAACATGCAGTAATATCAACCTCTTACTCAGCAGACTTTAATAATACAAATCATAGTATCCTTGACTAATATTTGATGACCTGTAGTCAATATACGTTTGTTGGAGCATTGTCTACGTTCAAGATGCTGTTCTCAGAGCCACCCAGAATAGAAAGAAGTAAAAACCAATATCTCAGCCCTGGTAGAGTTTGTTTCACTTGAGGGATACGAAAATAATGCAATGAGATGATAGACCCGAGGCAGTATGATGGCTGGCAAAGAGCTTACATGTTATCTAACACTTATTTTATGGACAAGAAAATTGAAGTCTAGTCTAGAAAGACTCAAAGAGTGGACAAAGTGAGATAGAGCTCCCTAGCCATCTGACCAGAGCCAGGCCACAGGTCTCCAGGCCAGTGTGTTTCTTTTCTTCCTTTGTTAGGTAATAACTATACACCTAAGTTAAAACCATGTGGCATAGACTATAACAGCCAAATAAGCTTTAGGAAAGGAAGGTGGCAGCTTTTAATGCCAAAGAAGAATAGGAGGAGACATGATTAGATGTAAATGTAAACAATAGCAGAGGAAGCAAAATAATCCAGCCCATGAGAACCAAATACTTGTTTTATCTGTGGGACAGAGATAAAACCAACCAGATGAACTTGAGCAATTTCCCTCCATGTTGGGCAATGGAGGGAAATTAGGCTGGAGGGACCTGAAAGTGTGGGAGAGGAACTTGGACTTGATGTGGTAGATCACCGGGAACTATTCTCAATCCTTGAGCATGAAATGACACCATGAAAGTGGGATTAAGGAAGATTATGTTTGTTTGCCGAGAGAACTGGATAGTGTATGCATTTTTCTTTTCTTACATTCTGTGTATTGGTCTTTTTATTCCAAGTAGGTTAAACACTGTATTAATCAGAATAGCCTAGCTTGTGTTACAGCTACAAATTAAGCCTGAAATTACAGTCAGTGACTTAATATGTGTGTTTCTTGTTTGTAGCACATAGACCACTATGCTATGTAATTGTTAGCAAGTATTTATTATTGTTGTTATAACTTTAATCTGCTGACTTCTGGTACAGTATCAGTATCCTAAAGGAAGGGTAAAGTTTCCGACTCTAGTTAAGGGCCTCATAGGGAAAGAGGTTGTAGTCATTTAGGTGTGCCATGGCCAAGGTCTAGACTAGGATGATGAAATTGGACAAAGAAAAGGTGGGCAAGAGAGTGTGCAAGAGGAAAAAACCCAAGCACAGATTTGTTCACCATCCAAATGCCATGGATTAGGAGAGGATGGCTAGGTATGAGTGACAGGGAATACAAGTAGAGTTTGTAGAGAAATTAGGGTGCACCGAACAGAGAAAGATGATGAGCTGAAGTTCACATGTGTTTTGGGGGAGTTGTCTGAGGCAGAGGTGGCCATGGGTAAGGGAAGAACGGAGCCAGCCCTGAGCAGGTTTGAGTAAGTGGTGGCATCTGAATGGTTTGAATTTCAATCCCAGCTCTAGCCTTCCTTGTGGCCTTGGTGCTCTAGTTTCCTCATCTGCAAAATGGGGATGATAATATGACAATCGTACCCTTTCTTAAGATAATGAGGATTGGAGGATAATAATGCCTGTGCAGTGCTTGGAAAGTAGCATGTAGTAAATGATCAAGCATGTTCATTTTTAGCTCATTAAGCCTTTTTATTTTGAAACAGAGTCTCACTCTGTTGTCCAGGCTAGCAGGCCGTGGTGTCAACCTAGCTCACAGCAAGCTCAAACTCCTGGGCTCAGGGGATCCTCCTGCCTCAGTCTCCCAAGTAGCTGGGACTACAGGCATGCGCCACCGTGCCTGGCTAATTTTTTCTATATATTTTTAGTTGGCCAGTTAATTTCTTTCTATTTTTAGTAGAGACATGGTCTCGTTCTTGCTCAGGCTGGTTTCGAACTCCTGACCTCGAGCGATCCTCCCACCTCGGCCTCTCAGAGTGCTAGGATTACAGGCGTGGGCCACCCCACCCGGTCATCATTAAGGCTTTAATTGAGTAGATTTGGGGAATTGTCTTTTAAGCAGTTTTCTGAGTTCAATGTAAATTTTCCATTGACAGTAGTCTACAGGAAGGAGTCTAGTTGTGTAGTCTGCCCTGAGTTAAAAAGAATGGGCCTTGTCACTGGGTCACTTTTAATCTCCATTCTTTTCATTTTCTTGTTCTTCACCCAAATAGTCAATGAACAAATATTTTTAGCTTTGTAGAGAATAACAAGTTATAATGGGTTGAAAAGTCACCAAAATAGACAATTTTAAGGGCTAGTTTAAGATCAGTGCTTCCGCTTTTAAAATTGCATGCCCCCTTATAGTGACTTGGAGGACCCACTGTGCTTGCCTCTTGAAATACAGAATTATTTCTGTATTTCTGTTAAATGGGCTTGTTAACTAATTAGCTCTCTCCTTCAGAATGTCTAAATTGTAGGGTCTTCAAGAGCATATAGTCTACATTACATACCTGTCTTCAGTTACTCATGTGTTCTAGCATATGTAGTTAAGCATTTAGGGTATTTTTTATTTCACTGAGAATTTAAAAACTTCACAGATAGTAGGGGTTTAGAATTTTGTTAGTAACAGTACAAAGCATGTGCTGTTCAGTTAAATGGATATTTGAGAACCTGCTATGTGCCAGGCTGTGTGCCAGGTGTTGTGTATGTAACAGATGAGGTCCTCATCCTCATGGTGTTTACAGCCTGGCTGAGTTTATAACTGACCTGTTGTTGGGTTATTTGTCCTACTTAAGGATTATATGGCCTGTTAGCATATAATAAAGCAGTTAAACCTTCCAATACTTTTTCAGGGTCCACATGATTCAGTTCTGTGTTCATTATGGCTAGGATACCAAGTTAGGGTTACATTCCTGATGATGCTGTTAATTTACCAGGTGCCTATTATGAACTTAGGTTTCTTTACAAACTGCAGGTGATACTGCCTGCTCATCCTGTTTTGTGAAAGGGAAGACATTGTATAACATAGACTATTTTGTAAATTATTGAGATCTCCAAATATACCTGCTGCCATTTCTAACACCTGACATTTACTATTCTGTACTATCACTGAATAGTCAGTGAAATGCACAGCAGAGGCCTTTGAAGGAGAATGATTTGATGAGTTTGACTGGAGTAGAGAGTTTTTAAAAAAAATATTAGAGATAGATTTAGAGTTTACGTTTTAGGCAGTATGGCTACTGATGGCTAGATAAAATCATTTCTGTGGATTTGTAATATAGTAGAAGGAAGAGGCAGAAAACTGAACAGATGAAAGAATGTTAACCCTTTATCAAATGCTATGAGTATTTACTTTCTTGTTCGAAGGATCCTTAGAGTTGACCCCATTCACACAGAGAAGACTCATCTGCTATGAGGCAGCATGTTGGCTCACACATCCCATAAAGAGCCCGTGCTCCAAGCTAGTCATAGAACTAGGGCACCATGAAGAGGCTCTGAAATTAAGAAAGCTTTGTTTCTGGTTTTCATTTAGTAGCCTTCACAATGGTTTTTCTTTAGAAATTCAACTCAAATGACTGCCCAAGTGCCACCTTGCATAAAATTTAGTGTTTTGTTCTTTCTTCTCCTTCACCTGGAAAAGTTTGTAGATAGAGTGAAGGAAAGGCATTAGATTCTGGCTTTCATCTATGTGGTCTCACCTGTCTCTATAAGGTGTTACAAAAACAAGTAAATGATGTTGAATCAACTATTATGATTAATTTTCTTACAGGGTGAAAGTTGAAAATGAGTAAGATAAGAATTTAAAAGAAAATAAATCCAGGGCATAAAGTCTAAGAAAAATTCAAAATAGGACTCAGTGATATATCATTTTATTTCTTTGTCTCCCATTACCAAAATTAGTATCATTGCCAACGGAAATTCTGTACTGGGGTAGTTTTGGGAGTAAAACAAATTTGAGCTGGCAGACAGGTTGACTGCTTATAAAGGTAAGCTACTCATACTAAGCTACTCATTTGAGCAAGTATACAATGTTGTAAAGAATCCTGAGGACTCCTAAGTTTGTAATTTTGCATTTTGTTCCATATCTTATTTAGGCAAGTACCAATTATATCCCTCCCTGCTAATCACCCCCCACATCCCCCAAAAAGTTTCTGAGAACACAGACCAGGGGTCCTCAAACTTTTTAAACAGGGGGCCGCCAGTTCACTGTCCCTCAGACCATTGGAAGACCATTGGAGAGTGCGGCGCACATTCCACACATGCACACTGTGGGCCCAGGACAAGTCAGCTGCTAAGCAGGACAGGCAGCGGCGGCAAAAACACCCGGTGGGCCGGATAAATGTCCTCCTCCTCGGGCTGCATGTGGCCCATGGGCCGTAGTTTGAGCACCCCCGACACAGACTATTGAAATACAGATACAGGGTGCTACCAACTTGAAGGGAAAAAGAGAAAATGATGCCCTAGCGATCCAAAGAAAACGAGCATATATGCATGTTTTTATTCCCAGGAAGAATTTAGCAAGTAAACCCTCCGTCCAGTGAGATACCTCCATATATAGTCCCCGTGATGTTCATAAGCAGTGGCCCTGAAAGACTATGCTGGCTCTTAGGGAGAAAGCTCGATGCTTTCATTGCCTCAGTCATCATCATTTATAACATTGCTAATCTATCAGATCTATCTATTGCTAATTATATTCTCCCTGTAACTCCTGCTGGTAGTTGACAACATTGAGTAACAACATACTCATAATTTTGTAGCATCCTGGTCTTTATTCCAAAAGAGTTCTCTGAAACAGTTTTATGACTCAGAACAAAACAAAAAATTGGTGTTACCAAAAGGATAAAATGGAAGAGTGAAAGAAACATTGATTTAAGAAATATGTTACAAAAAAGATATGTTACAATATTAACATTTTTACACTGGCAATATACAATCTAATCAGTCTTTTTTCTTTTGCCAAACTATTGGCAGGAAATATTAATGATTAAGTTTTTTATTAAAATAAAATTTTGCTTTTTACATTGAGAGTTATTAAGATAGTCTCCCTATGACATATTATTTCACTTACAAATAGAACTTTGCTTTATATTGTTCTCTTGAGCTTATTTCCAAGTTGGAGGTGGAAAGTGCCCAATAAAAGGGATTTAAAAGAATCTTAATTCAAGTTGAACAATCATTTTGCCTTATAAGAAAAGTCCTACAAAATTTGTCATTCAGTTTACTTTGCTATAAATCCAAGATAGATTTATACTTTTTACTTTCCATTTAAAGACTTGGAATGTATCATCATCTGTGTTTCTGTCATTTCACGTGAGTTTTCTTCAGGGGCTGACTTCACAGCACTGGAAATTGATACACTGACTTGACGTTTCAGCATCTTCATAACCTTTCTCTTATACCCTTTACATGCAAAGAAATATATAAAAGGGTCCATGCAGCAATTGAAGTTCATCAGGCATACTGTAAAGTGCAGAGAAATCTGGAATGAATGTCTTTGGCTGCATACCACGTCAGGAAAGCGAAGCTTTTTAATCATATGTTGAATAATTGCAACATGGTAAGGTGTGAAACAGAGAACAAACACAACAATGATAAAAATAATTGTGTTGAGAGCCTTTTTGTTTACACCAGACTTCTCAGCTAGTGGGTTTTGTTTGGCAGTTTTAAAGAGTTTGCAGCAGATTTGAGAGTAGCAGATGAGAATGATTAACAGTGGAATCACATATCCTATGAAACATGCACCAAGCAGAATCCAGGGAAGAGATTTTGTTCCTTCAAAGTTTGGATATTCCATGCATGTAATCCGTTCAGCCTCCTGTTTTGACATAGGGTTGATGAGGAGTGGGAGTGTCTGTGCAAATACTAGAATCCAGACAAATATGCACACGCCCTTTGCGTGTTCAATCCTTTTCATCTTGTTGTATCGTAGAGGGTGCACCACAGCAAAGAAGCGATCAATGCTCAGGCAGGTCATAAAGTTCACACCTGCATACGTGTTGATGTAAAACACCAGAGCAGTTATCCTGCACAAAGCATCACCGATTTTCCAGTCAAAACCCATGGCATAGTAGGCTATCCGCGTAGGCAACGCAGTGGTAAAAAGTATATCGGAAATCACCAAATTTGTTGAATAGAGGGTGGTAGAGTTGATTTTTTTCCTGTTTTGAACAATGACAACCAAGGCCAACAAGTTTCCCACAAGCCCAATGATGAAGACAAGGCTGTAATGCAGAGGCATTAATATCCTTGCTGTGTTGTGGTGTGCGTAGAGATCACAGTCATCGCCCTGGGTGGTTGTAGAGGGTGTAGTAAAATTGTCAGCCATTTTTATATCCATTGGTGGTGGTCAGGCACTCTAGAAAAAAACCAAAAAGGCCATTTAATTAAAAGCATATTCAGCCAGTTTCATTACCCATCAGTTAAAGAAAAAGCACATTTAACTCAAAGCAATATAAAGTGTCTCATGAGAGACACATAATTTCTAGTTATAAGATTTATATAATTTTTAAAAATCTATAATATATAATATAGTTGCACAAGTGATAACAGGAAGAACAGAGAATAAAATGTATGGTTTTACTGTCATGATTTGGTGGCTTCGGCAAAGCCCCAGCAAAGGAAATCTAACCATCTAAGTAGGGCAATTGCATTTTTTGTGAAAAAAGAATGTAATAACTTTTTAGGCAGAAATTCCCTTTCCTTTTCTGAATCATTGTCTGGTTAAGAATAAAATTATGTAAAGCACCCCACATTTCATATGGGCGCTAAACTTTACTTTTAAATTGAATTTCAGTTGGACTTTTTTTTTTTTTTTTTTTTTTTTTTTTTTTTGGCCAAGTGTATATCACTGCCAGGAAATGAAATCAGTCATACATTTATGTAGTGAAATATGAACTTACCACAAGTGATCTGATTTGTGTTAACCTAAATGTATGAGAAATAAGCTTAGGCCATGTTAGGAACTGAAAGTTAGGTTTTCTTTTAAAAAAGAGAAGAAGACGACCACGACAACCATGACTAAAATGACAAAAGGATAAAAAAGAAAATGAGAGAAAAAAGACTTAAGCTACTTCAAGGCAAATTTTTAAATTTCTAAACTCTGTTGGTACTCTATGGATGCTTGCAGTTTATATTCATATGTTTGCATATAGTAGCAAGCATCACACACATGGTATTTTGTGCCCTGATTTAGTCACTTAACATCTTCATATTAGTGTAATCTTTATATTTGTCATGTATAGATTTTATGTAGACATTTGATAGGTGTTCTACAGTATTCCAGTGTGTTCATACATGATTTGCCTACCTACTGCCTTCATGAACACTTGGATCCTTTCCAGTTCTTTTCTTGTTATGGATAATGTTAAGACAGAAATTTCAAGTCCTAAATTGAAAAATTGAAAACTACTACAGCAAAGCTCCATATGTGAGTGGGAACTTTGATAAAAGCAGGAAGAACAATAAATCCTGAATGGTTATTTTTAGATGAAAAATAATTTCTCTCATAGAACTGTCTGTGCATAAATCTCATCTAGACGTCACCAAAATTAAGGGAAATTTTCAACAGATGTGATGCTGCTGCTCTATATTAAAGGAAAAAGACTATCTTTACCATGACAAAAAGCACTGTCTACAAATCTACTTCTCTATCTACTGTGTTAAATGCATTGGGTCTCTGTAACTTTATTCTAATAACCTTAAGTCAGTGATGGTCACAGGCACTAAGGTTATCAGGGGAATATACTTCTGTTAGAGGTGTACATTACATACGGTGTTTAGATGTTAGCCATTACGGTTTGGAAATACAACCTAAAGTAAAAGATAGCAGAGATTGAAATAGAACATTTTATTACTCAAGGGAAGACCAGAAAGGAGACTATGAGAAAAAACAAAGAATTAGGATGGTAAGTAGGAAACACAAATAAGAGGGTAGGAATGTGTCACAACAAACTTAAATGGGTTGAACTTGTGAATTAAAAGAGACTGTCAGTTTAGATTTTTTTTTTTTTAAGAGATGGGGTCTCACTCTGTTGGTCAGGCTGGAGTGCAGTGATGCAGTTATAGCTTACTGCAGCCCCAAACCCTGGAGCTCAAGTGCTCCTCCCACCTCAGCTTTCAAAGTAGCTGGGACTGCAGTAGCTAGGACTACAGGCATGCACCACCACACCCAACTAATTTTTAAAAAAGATTGTTTGTAGAGACGAGGTCTCGCTCTATTGACCAGGCTGGTCCCAAGCAGTTTAAATTTTTAAAAAAATCCTTCTTTATGCTGCTTAGATATAACCCAAAGTGATTCAGATAGGTTGAAAAGAAATGGAAAAACATATACCAGACAAATTCTGACCAATAAAAAGATAAGAATAGCAATGTTGATATCAGAAAAAATAGAATTCAAGGCAAATTCAATATTAATAGGAATAAAGACGGTCACTATAAAAGTTAAAGAACAGTACACAAAGAGCACAAAAATGATGATTAAATATGCAGGTAACAGCAAAACTTGACAACATTTGAAAGAGAAACTGGCAAATCCACAACCATTGAGATCATATACATTTCTATTGGAATATACCAGACAAAGAGATTAAAGACTTAGAAGATTTACACATCATGATTTGAAAGCTAACAGAATTTGTGCTGAAGGCATACGAGCATATCTGCAAATTTGACCACATGGTAGGTCATTAGAGAAGTCAGAAAATCATTATTCAGCAGACCACATTGACTACAGTGCAGCAAATTAGAAATCAGTGATGAAAAGACAAAGGATAAATTTGGAAACTAAAAAATATGTTTCTAAGGAACTCATGGGTTAAAGAAGAAATCACAGTGAAAATTTTGAAATGCTTAGAACTAAACAACAAAAATATAATACTATCCACAAAAACTGTAGGATATAGTTGAGGCATTAATCTGCGGTAGATGCAAAGCCTTGAAAGCATTTCTTAAAAAAAGATTGAAAATAAGTAAGTTAAATATATAGCTCAAGAAGCTAGAAAAGAACAATTTGTCCAAAGAAAATAGAAATAATAAAGATAATTGCAGGAATTAATGAAATAGAAAACAAAAGACAATAAATATAAATTTCATATTTTGTGCAGGGAAAAAATGGAGTGGTTCTTAATAGGAAATCATGAAGATTACATTGTGGAATATAAGAAAACATTTTTTCCATTTGGTTGGGAAAGGCTTCATGTGAGAAGCAGCTTTTCAGGAAGTGAGACTAGACACAAGTCTAGTGGAGAGGTGAAAATTCCAGGCAAGGGTTGCAGTTTAGGAACTGGCATCAAGAAATTCTTTTATTAATATTTTTCTAATCTCTGTGAACATGTTTCTTTTTTTCTGAAAAATATATCAACGTATGTTTTGAGGAGTATTTCAAAGCAATTTCATGGGAATTGCCTTTACAATACATGGCAGTTAAAAAAAAACTTTACTGTGGAGTCTGAGAATCTTCCATATGAATAATTATTATTGTAGAGATTAGGAAAGTGACACGAATGTAAGACTCAGTGAAGAAGGTGCCAGTTTATAAATACATGTCTGACTGCTTCACTGAATGAGATACCACATTCAGTAGAGCCAGAAATGGCCAGGGTTTCAGAATAGTTTAAGAATGTTGAACACAGTATTAACTATATAATTATAGTGTTGATTGCAAACCGTTCCCATATCTCATTAGGAGATAGTTTAAATATTTTATGATTGAGCCATACAGTGGAATTTAATGCAGCCACCGAAAATGGAAACACAGATGTTTATTCCTTGACAGGGAATTATGTTAAGTAGGGAAAGCAGATTATATAACTTGCCACTTTTTTGGGGGAAAAAGCAAATACACGCACACACACATATATATACACACACACACAGAAAGATGCCTGCATGAATATATATGCCAAAACATAATATTGTATAAGTGATTTGGGGGCTTTATTCATATGTCCTAATTTTTTTGTTTGTTTTTTGTTTTGGTGATAGGGTCCCACTCTGTTAAAGTAGGTTAAAGAGTGCAGTGGTATCATCATAGCTCACTGCAATCTCAAACTTCTGGGCTCAATCCTCCTGTCTCAGCCTCCTCAGTAGCTGGAACTACAGGTACATGCCACTGCACTGGGCTCATTTTTCTATTTTTAGTGAGATGGGTGTCTCATTCTTGCTTAGGGTTGTCTTGAATGCCTGAGTTCAAGCAATCCTCCTGCCTCAGCCTCCCAGAGTGCTAGGATTATAGGTATGAGCCACCATGCACGGCCTATCCTAAATTTTTAATACTGAACATGAATTGACTGAAATGAATAAATAGTAAAAATTTTTTAAGTCTGTGGAAAAGAATTTTAATTCAGCTCTTCTTGCAAAAACCTTGTCATCTAACATACTTTTCAAAGGTTGCTCTTCAGTGTTCTTAATTCAGGTTTATGCATTAACTTATTGGGTGCCTACCTTTAAATCAGTCATATAGAAGTCTCACAGCAGCCCAAGACTTGCTATCCCCTACCTACTTTCCAGGTGAGGAAACTGAGGGTCTGAGAGGTTAAAGATTATGCTGGATCCTTCTTTGTGATGACCCAGTATCAGGTCTGCTCCTCTGTTAAGTCCTTTGCAGGAGCAGCTGTTTCATGCTGCCCTTGAAGCACTGAGAGTTTGTGGTTTCAAAGTGGTCCAGGCCTTAAGGGCCATTAAATATAGACAGCACAGGCACACCATGGCCCAGCTGCTCCAGAGCAGAGGGGCAACTCTTCCCAAGAGCAGGGGCTGCCCACTTCCAGGAGAGGTGCCTTCCCAAGTGGGAAGCCACCCGTGGCCACACATCATAGTACCCTGAGGGGAGGCCTGTTGAGAGGCCCTCTTACTGACCACCGTTGTGCTGGAGTTGGCCAAAGAAGGGCACTTGCAGAATGTGGACATGTAACTGGGGTGACTCGGAGATGATCTTAGGTAAAGGAACTCGAGGTTGTTTTGAAATATGCTCATTTTGGATATTTAGTAACCTCTTGAAGGTTGATTCCACTAGATAACTCTAGTATGTCACTTTAGCTCTTGCTTATATCTGTCCAGTGTTATTAATGCTGTAATGTTCTAATGCTGTAGTTTTAGCCAATTTTATGATCTCCAAATTGAGGAGAAAATCCTTTCATGTACTTGAGTATTGTTACTCCATTCTTAACCAATCCCAACTTATGATACTCTTTCTCAGAGATATTACTTTATACCCTCCTTCAGTCATCTTATGAATTACTTTCCTGACACTTGAATTAACTCCATTCTTTTATTCAGCAAAAATTGTTCTTAATGCCTCCATGTGCTAGATTCTGAGACTACAGAAGTGATATATTTTTATATTAGAGGGTCTAGAAG